AATGGTCACAACAAAAAATTACTGAACGAATAGATTTTTTTGAGTACGTGCTTTTTGGAGATGAGGCAACTTTTCATCGAAATGGCTGTGTCAATAGGCACAACTTTCGTTATTATTCCACTTCTAATCCATAACATATAATTACTCACAGTCAGGAAAGGTAGTCTTTAAATGTTTGGGGTGGCATTATCGGTGAGTACGTGATAGGACTTTCTAGTGAATTCTTTAGCAATATTGCTTGAAGATCTTCCTCTTGAAGTACGCCGAAAAATGTGGTATTTACATGATAGTGTTCCTGCTCACAATAACGCTCTTGTAAATGGCGAACTTGCAGATCAATTTCCAGGAAGATGGATGGGAAGAGGCGGGCCAATCCGTTGGTCACCAGATTTAACAAAAATTGACTTTTTTCTGGGGCTACGTTAAGGCTCTAGTGTATAAAATACCTCCAACTACAGTAAATGATATGAAAATACGAGTAAGAGAAGCATTTTAAAGTGTTACTGTGGAAATGCTTAGAAATGTGAGTCGGAACTTTGAAAACCGTCTTCAGGCCTGCATAAATATTATGAGAGGCCACTTTGAACAACTGTTCTAATTAGTTATTAAGTTATTAGTTATTAAACGCACTGTATATTCAAAAATAATTTTAAAATATGTAGTTTAATGTAGTCTACCGTTTTGTGAAAATATTTTTTTATATCTCTAATAATGGCGGATATATTGGACTTTTTCACACTAATGGATCACCCTGTATATAAAGTGAAAAAACAAAAAAATAACAGCGACAAACTCACATATAAATAATTAACCGACTAATTTTCTGTGCGTCCAAAACCACAATCGTATCGTAACATAGAGAACAATGTCCCCTATTACATAAAAATTCCACTCAACCCATTGAATCTTTCCCAAAACAAAAACAGGTTTATTGCGTTTATTAATTATTTCGCTGTAAACAAATTCTAGTGACCTTGAAATACCCTTTACCTGTAACATTTGCAATAATTTGCAATTATAACTAAAAAACATACAACACGACCTAAAGACCTGACTTGGAGACCATAAGAGTGGTACCATCTACATGTCGTCTTCATCGCAATCAAATCAAGTGTCCATAAGATTATCCTACTGGGTATATTCTACAATACTTTACAGAGACGTTTAAAAAAAAGGTCGGAATTCTCCAATTTGAAAACTACTAAAGATTTATTAAAACAAAAAGCAGAAAATTTTCATAAATTTATTACAGAATAGCGTGTAAGTGATCTTTTCTGTTGAATTCCTTTTAAAATTTTTCAAACTAAATACTTTCCAAGGTTTTCAAAAAATTCAATGTTTCTCTACCCTCATATTTGTATATATGGGCCTATGTCATTGTAATTACATTTTTATAACTATACACCAAAAAAAGTATGACGAAATTTTGGTTCCACTGACAATTAATAATCATAACCACACTTTTAACAATACCTATTTAATTGGTTATTAAATGATTATGTAATTGATGCATGTTATCTACTTTAGAAATATAACAATATAATTTAGGTAAACAAAACGAACAACGTACTCAAAAAAATACTTTCAGTGGAACCGTAAATACGTCATCACTAATTTAGCGTATTACAACAATTGTGTAACTCATTGCTAATATATAAGCCATCATCAGATTAGAATTTATAATTAGATACTAAACGGCATTTAGAATAAACTGAAATTAGTAACAAAAACCAAATATTTATTATAAACAACTCCTTCATGTTTATTATCTAAATAAAAATAAAACGAAAAGATAACAAGATATAAAAAAAATATAAATGTGAAACATAAAAAAATTTGCATCGGCCGGGAATCGAACCCGGGCCGCCCGCGTGGCAGGCGAGCATTCTACCACTGAACCACCGATGCGATATTAATAGTTGATAAATTAATAAATCTTGCAATTCCATCGTGTTACTTTTACTGCTTTTACTCCAAACGCAAGCGGTACTTAAGTATGATAATAATAATAAATGTTATCTCTTTAGATCTTAGATGTATACCTACAAGTTGTTTTATCCATTTTATTGAAAATTGGACTAGATATTCCAATATAATTGCTTCAAATCTGAGTTTTGCAGGTTTACCTTACCTACTATACTTTTTCTGTAATATGGTTATCTACATAAAAATATTTTAATTAAAAAACTGTAATTTATGTAATATTTTCAATTATACAGAGTGTCCGGAAAGTCAACGATATTACTGAAAGGGGTGATGGACCAACTTATAAGCTTTCAGAAAAATATAATAAAAATGGTTTTCCAGATATTGTCACTTTAATAAAATTCGTTAAAATCGAGTTTTACTCCTAAAACAATGTATAATTCTTAGATTCTGATTTAGGTTCTGCAACTGTGAATAGCCATTTCATTAAACAAAGACCAACATTGAAACAAAAGTTCAAAATATTCATTAAGAAATCTTATTTTACAGAGAAATAATTTATTTTTATTTTCCATCACTCAAGTTTAACACCTCATACTGTACAAAAAAAGGTCTACACTAACCTGGCTAGTGATTTAAAAAGTTTGCTCATTTAATGTACTTTTAAAAACTATCCATTATTCTAATAAACAGTTTACTGTTATTGACTTACAGTGAAGGATATACCTAATTTACCTTATGAGAACATTCTAAAAATTAAACAAAATTAAATCATGTTAGAAAAAAATGTATTTATCTTAAGAAAAATAAAAAAATCAAACAATATGTTCAAAGTGACCACCCCTAACGCGAATGCAGGCGCGGCGTCTTTTTAAAAGGGTCCTCTTTATCCATCTTCCATTTCTTGCCAAGTTTATCTCTTGGGCTGCGTCAGTTATTTGCTGATGTAATTCATCAATATTACTTATTGGTCTTGCATTAACCTTCTCTTTTATACAACTCCAGTAAAAAAATTTAGGGAGTTTAGGTCTGGAGACCTGGGGGGCCGATCCATCTGTGGGGGTAGGTTTGATTTAAATACGCATGAACTTGACGTGCATAATGTGCTGGGCAGCCATCATATTGAAACCACATTCTTCGGCGTGCAGCCAAAGGAACATCTTCCAAAAGAAGCGGTAGGTGGGTTTGACAAAAATATAAATAAGCTTGCCAGTTTAGATTTTCTGGTAATTCAAATGTACCAATCACATGTCCGTTTAGGATACCAGTCCACAGGTTTACTTTGAAACGGTACTGGGACCTTTCTTCTCGAATGGAGTGGGGATTTTCCAACGCATAAGAATGCAAATTGTGCATGTTCATAAAGCCATCCTTTTTAAGTGTACTCTCATTCGACCACAGTACATTGTTTATAAAGTTCAGGTCCTCTATATTTTTTTGCAACAATCTGCGGCAAAAGCGTACGCGTTGTTTGTAATCCTGAGGCAGCAGGGCTTGTACATGTTGCACGTGATATGGGTGATATTGATATCTCCTAGTGATCTAGTTTACTGTCGATTTGGGTATTCCTGTTCGTTTTTCTATTTTTCGCGCCGAAGTAGTCGGATCGTTTTCAATTTCTTCTAAAACTTGATCATCGTAATCAATGCGGGGTCTTCCCCCTCGAACGGGAGCGTGACGAACATTGGTAAACACACGATAATCAGGATATTGTGCCAAATTTGGATATATTTCCCGATAAAGGTTAGCTGCCGCTAGACCATTTCCTCTGCATTTTTCATAAATGAGATGCATGTTTGCATATTCCTGGGCGGTATACGGCAGCGGCATATTAAACAGTTCAATTACCAACACAAATAGTTCAATCAACACAAAGTCCACAGGAAAGTCAGGTCACTTCATTTGATTTCTAATACAATCAAATCCGAATCAAAAGGTAACATACCAGTCTAGATACTTACAAGCAAAATTTATTGACAGTACAGTAACAAAATAACAACAAAAATGTTTTTTGCTTGTTGCTATGGCAATAACACTTATTTCATGGCCTCCTAGTCTAGGCTGTTGATTTTTGTTTAATTTTTGGTAAGAGAAATAAAACTTTTTTGTAACATGACTTAATTAATGTTATTAATGTTCTCAAGGTAAATTAGGAATATCTTTTACTGTAAGTCAATAACAGTAAACTGTTTAATAGAACAATGGGTAGTTTTTAAAAGTACATTAAAGGAGCAAACTTTTCAAATCACTAGCCAGGTTAGTGTAAATCTTTTTTGTACAGTATGAGGTGTTAAACTTGACTGATGGAAAATAAAAATAAATTATTTCTCTGTAAAATAAGATTTCTTATTGAGTATTTTGAACTTTTGGTTCAATGTTGGTCTTTGCTTAATGAAATGGCTACTCACAGTTGCAAAACCTAAATAAGAATCTAAGAATTATATATTTTTTAGTAGTGACACTCGAAAATCTGATCGAAAGGGACGATTTTAACGAATTTTATTAAAGTGGCAATTTCTCGAAAACCATCGATTTTTTACTAAGGTCATATTGTGTTTTTCTGGAAGCTTACGAGTTGGTCCATCATCCCTTTCAGTATTATCGTTGACTTTCCGGACACCCATATATGGTGTTGCATGACGTACTATACAAACTTAAATAGTTCATATCTGAATTCATTTCAAGCAAAGACAAATTCTAAAATCAAATTTTCCATGGTTATCAAACTACAAGCGTTCAGAGATCAGGAGATGAATTAACATAGAAATCTTTAGAACAAGGATTCCTAAACTATTTGCACAAGAGACCTCATTGAAAAAATGAAAACTAGAAAGGCATATGGAGAAGTCATAATATCAATAGATACCTATACTTAAAGAAAATAAAGGCTTAGAAGGACGTTTAAATTTTTAAGGTGTTTGGTTTGCTCTTAAGTATTAAGTACCATTTATATTACATCTAAAATAAAATAAATTGATGATTAAAAATATTATTTGATAGAAGAATTTAAAAATTCTATTTATCAGATCGAACATATCAAGTGATAGAAGGTATACGCAAGTATATTGACTTACCTAGGATATGCCGAACGAAGATCACATTTCAGTTTTGCTAATAATTCTGAAACAGTCCCAAATTGTCTTAGAGTCATTTCCATGCCTGACGAACTCAGCATTGGATTCCTATAATCTCGGAAGGTACTTCTTTGGGAATGATTACTGTCCAGGTCGGATACACTTGAAGAAGAATAAAGGGATATGATGCCAAGGCCAGATTTCTTTCCCCATTTTTTCAACAAGAAAGCATAATCTTCAGGGTTGTAGATTGGCGGTCGCTGTTTTTCCTGACAAAAATATGCATAAAACGTTTATTCAAACAATAGCACAACTATACATTTAGATTTTTAAGGTAAAAGGAGAATAGCAATAGTATTTTAGTGATCCAGTAAGAGCTCATAAAATCCATTGATCAAAACGTTTACAATATTAATGACATTTAATAAGGTGAAGTAGGGGTAAATCTGATAATGGAGCAACTGTGATAATAGAGAGATATTGCAAATTTCTATAACGTCAGCCACTAATAGTGACAACGTAATTAGAAGCAAATAAATTTCATGCTAAAATAAGACTTATTGCAAATCTGAAGTTTTGACATTAGAGTCCTTTTCCTTATACATATTTCTAACTTCATTTAAAAAAAATGTAATTACAGTTCATCTTTTTTGTTGTCTACAATAATACATAATATGGAAGATGCATTAAAAATTATCATTTTAGAAGGTTAGATGATGATGAAGTTAAATAATATTTAATATTAAAAAACTTCCAACTGATACCAATGTCGCTGACCGCATCCATAAGTGAACTTGCAATAACCCTCTAGAGTCTATATATTTAAAACAAACATATTATTACTGTTGCCATCTACCTAACAGGCCTTTAAGCTTTTTAGCGAACCACCAACACACTAGACTAGAAGAAAAAAAGGAAATATTATTACTCACCCTTCCTGTATCTTCCAATTTTGAATACCTTTCGGTATTGATAGCTTCGTCAGGTTTTGGTACCATTCTTCCTCCAGAGTCTAGTAGTTGTCTGCAAACAAAAAATATTTTATAGTACTTTATTTTTTTCAAATAAAGAAATAAACAAAACAGTTCTTTATTATTTTAAAGAAACCAAAATAGGTTACACGGCTGTATGCACGTAGTTTAGATTAGCAAAAAAAATAATTGTATTTAGAAAAGTTCGTTGCCGCTTTCGATAGATTGCAACTTTCTGTCTTAATACGCAAAGTGTCACTTTTCGCTCCTAATACACAAATAGCTATTAATTTAAAAATACGATAAATAAGTTGCAAAAATTGGAGAAACAAGGAGGCTGTACTAACGAAAAGCCGTATTTACTAATTAAAAAAAAAATATTATTTAAATGTTATTTTAAACCAATACTTTTAAAGGAGAAAGGAAAACTCATCAGACATCATAAAATTGGAAAATGTTTAAAGAAAAATAAAAACTAGGGCTAATCAAGTCAGCTGAACACAGTGGTAAAAAGAAGTGATGATGATAATAGAATAAATCCTTCAAATAAAGTGAGAAACCAGTACAGAGTCCAGACAGCTACTGAATGAAGAAGTTAGAGAGTTTGGCGTAATATTCAGGTCTTACTTATCGTATAGCTGTTTGGTGTTTGCACTTGTTTCCAATTGCATTGGATGTTCACCTTATTTGGAAAACGGGATCCTAGGATCACTCTCTCTGTTTTGCCAATAAAGTTTTGAGTTGATTATTTCTAATTTAAAAAAATTTAATTCTAAAATACTTGATTATTGTCAATCTGAATAAAACCATTTTCCAATAAATATACATTTTTTGTTTGGTAAATACTTTGGTTGGTCCTCTAATAATTCTATGCTCTCTGTCTCAGTAAAATAACGGGAACACTAGCTTTTGTTTTTTTTTAATTGACCGTTAGTTAATAGTTTGTACCAGCATTAAAAATAAAATGTATACCAATATTTTAAAAACTACAGGGTGTTCTACTACAAAGGTACACATTGTAGCAGCTTATAACTCTAGAATGGAAAATGATATCAATGTGCAGTTATTGCTAAACTTCTTCAATTTGTTGACGTAGTTGCCAAATGATACTGCTATCCTAGCAATAGGCAAAGGTCACGAAGAGGCTGCACATAAACTACAAACATTAGTTAATCAAATCAAAAAAATAACTGGCCCAAAAGATTGCGTAATAAACTAAACGAAACCAAATCTGCTAATATTAATTTTACTAACAATAATAGTCAACGAATACAAATTAATTTAAATAATACTCATATCCCTTATGCTACCTCAGCAAAATATCTAGGTATTACAGAAGATGCAAGACTTTGCTGAAAGGTCCTTGTTAAAAAGAAAAGACAAGGGTTAGATATAAAATGTATTGGTTACTTGGTAGGCATTCCAGCCTTTCTACATATAACTAAATTATTTTATTTAAACCCATTTGGACCTATGGTACTCAGCTCTGGTATTGTGCTAACAATTCTAATAATCCAGAGATTACATAACAAAGTGTTGAGTAATATTGTCGATGCTCCTTGGAACATTAGAAACAGCGACCTTTATTAAGATCTTTCGATAGACACTGTTGACCAGACTATCACCAGATTTGCTAGGAGTCACGAACAACGGCTCCACCAACAAATTAACGTTGATGCGATCCAGCTTCTTGACAACACGGTCCTAACAAAGAGACTTAAAGAAATAAAACATTTTGAGTTAACTAGGTCATTCTGTTAATAACAAAACAAAGCATTGTGTGGTTTAGTGTAATTAAGTTATCAAACCCTAAAGTATACTAGGGAGTAACACTTTAGTTTTTAAGATTTGAACCTAAGTTAAGTTAGATAAGTTAGATTAAAACAAAATTACTCATTGATCATTTTTTGATCAGATTGTTATATTAGTAAACGCCCCTTATAGAGTGTTTAAAAATAAAACAAAATTGAAGTTATTCAAGAAAACGTTCTTCGTCTGTATCTACTATTTATCTACAATATACTAGAAATGATTAATGTCAAAACCGCTACGTTTGCTAATTTCACTGATGTTTTAGCAATAGGAGCAAATTCAATAATTGAAGCCATTGAAAAATTACAAAAAGCCCACTAACGAATTCAGCAGAATATAAAATCTCAAAATATAAATTTCACAAATAAAAACAACCAAAATAACGTATCTATTACGATTCCAGGTACCGCATGAAAATTCTCCAAAGTGTCTAGAAATTAACTTATAATCGAATTAAATTACGGGTTTCGAGCTTACATTAAATTGTAATTAGATGAAACAAAATGGATTCTATGTATTTTGAGGTGATCTTTTCGAAAAAAGGCAAAACAAAATGTAGCAGTTTTTCGAAAGTGCCGAAATTTTGTATTTTGTCAATTTTTCAATTTTGCGCAGGCGCATGTCGGAAATAAATCAATATTTTTAAAACGCAGTTTACGACATTTGAAAGCTTAGGAAAAATGCTAATTTTTATGTCTCTTGAGAAATTTTGATCTCATGCACCGTTCTCGCGGTATGGACGATTGAAATTTGTTTAGTATTTTGAGGCGATGAAGGTCGAAAAATTGAATTTGTTAAATGTTCAAACACTACATTCTTCATAACATTGGTGAAAATTAAGATATTTGAAAAAACAAAAATGCGTTTTAAACTTAAGGGATGTGCCTAGTGATTTCTAGAAGGGGGCAAGAGAAATCCCAAAATTGGGCATATGGCGGAAGGGCAAAGTGTACCGCGGTCCTAATTTCATTGTTTGCCTATAACGGCCAAACTATTTGAATTTTTTTAATGCCACTTACAAAGCTTACTCTCAAATGTGAAGTCTTATGTGTGTGTGAATTTCACCTACATCGAACCATAATTGGCTAAGATATAAAACAATTAAATAAATTTTTTTCCCTAAAAAAAAATAATTTTTTTTTCTAAAGTTTGAAGTGGCACAAAAATGCCAAAAATGCACCCAATGGCTCAAAACTTTTTTTTTAAGTTTAATGAGAAACAAGCTTACTTTCTCTTTCAATTGCCAGAAAATTCGAGTAGCTTCAATTCTCGCGAGAATTACCGATCTTTGCACACGTGCGCTCAGAAAACAGTGGAAGCTAGAAAAAATGTATATGCCACAGTTTTTCGTGTCTTTTTTTGTTTCTCTATCATCTGATGAAAACAGTTTTCTATTCAGATAATTAGTTTTCGAGTTAATTAAGAAAAAAGTACGAGAAATTAAGAAAAAAATGTTTTGCAATTTTTTTCAAAAAGTTCGGAACGTAACTAGAAATTACGTATTTTTGTCATGCATATATATCTTCTCCCATTTCAAGTTTTCTTGTAAATAACTAAAAACCAGATAGAGAACAAAAAGCAAGCTTATCACCAAGTTGGAAGTTATACTCAGGCTTAGGATTAATTTCCTAACATTTTTAAAGTATACCTTTTTGTGTATTTTTTTGTGCTTTTTTCGATGGCGAAGTTAGATTTTTCAAATATATTTTTTTTGTTAGATGTTTTCGGAAACCCGCAAAAAATCATATGGGAAAAAAATAAAAAAAAACTATGCCTTCCGGTTTCCTGCGAATTCCCGAAAAATTATGGCAGATTTCGGCGCAGGACTTATTTTATTTGAGAGCCAACAAAAAAATACGCAACTTCTCTCATGGGCACATATGTCTAACATTTATAATTTCGCCACAAATTCATCGCAAATTTCATGTCCATGGTTCTGATCAAAAAAACGAAGAAACGACTTTTTGGTAAAAGCACTTCTGGCGGCGAGAAATTCGCCATTAAAACTACCTGTGCAATGAATTTCCGAACTATTTTTGCCTCCTCTTTCAAATGGTGCATTTATTATCACTATCGGAATGATATTTGCCCAGATAATTAGCATTTTTACAATGGAAAATTCTGGAAAACCCGGTTTTTCCTAATTTTTTCTTTTTTTCGGAAAGATCACATTAAAATACACAAGGTCCTTTTTGTTTCATATAATTACAAATCAATGAAAGCTCGAAGGGGCTTTTTTTCGTTATTTAATTGGACTACTTAGGCATAAGCTTAAATGGAAAGAGCAATAAGCTTAAGAAGAAAATAAAAGAACTAGATGCGAAATATTAAACAATGTACTGTTTGATTGGCAGAAGATCAGAGATGATATCACCTCTGGTATATTCGAAAACCATATTTATATAGAGACTTTAATAATATAAAGGTCGCTAAAGAAGAAATCCAGAGATATGACAAAAAACATGAAACTAGACTTTACCAGCATCAAACAGAAAGAGAACTGAAGAGGACAAATATTCAGATCATATTCTAGTTAAAAGTGAAAGTTTTTTGAAGCCAGATCTAGTAAAATGGTGTAAATAGAAATAAAATAGAAAGTACTAAAGAGGATTTCTTAGATGTATGCTTTTAGTCCCTCTAGATTAGGATTAAATTGGTGATAAATGGTGGTCTGGTACAATTAATAATAATAATAATAATAAGGTAAAATGTTATATTTTTGGACCAAGGAATCTGCAGTTGGTCTTTGGCCCATTGTAATAAAACGTAGTGTATGATATTTCCGAAAAGTAAAAATTATTCCATATCGCAATCACTAAATACACTAGATTGTATATCCAAAGTTTCTTATTACGGACCTGACAATAAATATACACCTGTCATAAAATAAACATATATCTACCGCGATAAAACTAGATCATATCAGATCATATCTACTGTTAATATAATAGATATAGAAACAGAATCAAACTACAATAGTTACTATTCAAAAAAAAAAAAAAAGAATCGATATACTGACATCTACAATGCACGGTAGAATATGCAAATAGTTCTCTGGTGAATCAATCTTCTTGTGTGATTTTTTAGCCTGATTTTCATCCATAATATATACAAGTATGCAGAATGCCGGTCATAACTGTAACTGTTTGACTGTCGTTAATCTGTATAAATAGTAGTATTGTGAGGAAATCATGATGGAATCCCAATTAACATGCAAGGCTAAACATGGAATCGAATTAT